AAGGGCTAAGTATACACCATATAGCTACATGGACCCTTTGGGTTACTGAAGGTTTAGTAGGGCATAAGGGAATACATCGTAAACGGTTTATATCAGGCTTGTTTTCCTGTATTCCCTACTAACCAGCATAAGTAAATCCAAGACAGAAGCAGAGCACAGCGACATATGGGACTTTCCCACAATCAGGGGTACCATTTTGGGGAAGGGTTCCAGTTGTTGGGATTCCCATATATTGGGGCACAACCATATCAGCACAATGTTTCTCTGTAGGTGCGTCAACATTCAGAGACCTTTCAGAGGTCCGTCCCCTCCGCAAAACAGGCTACACGAATTGTGACCGTAAACACTAAGCCCTAAATAGTAGTTTCAATTTTCTTTTCCATTATCCCCATATAACCCCCATATACCCCCCATATCACCTGGCTCATCTTCAAACTCCTGGCTAGACATGATAAGGCTGGCAAGGCGCTGTGCAGCTGTGGATCACGTGTCCCAAAAACCTTGCCAAGCTGGCTGAGGTGTTCATACTTCGAGAATCTTAGGTAGTGATAAGCACGGCTATAAGTGGCCAGAACGAGGTCATTACAGCTTGAAGTACACTTCTCTTAATCATCATCACCTTTCGCTGCTTAAGTACGACTAGCTTAATACTCCGCAGATGAAGCCTGATTCGCCGGTGATGATTTGAGTTTGGCATTCAGGTTTTAGGCTCTACCTGGACCCCAAAAATGTGTAAAATAATGGCCTTTATGGCTATTATGACGGGTTTAGGGCTATTATTCTGCATACTTTTGGGGTCCAGGTAGTGTTCCCATATACCTACTTTAAGGGCTAAGTTCATACCATATAGCTACATGGACCCTTTGGGAGTGTTCAGGGCTTGAGGATCATCTTTTGGTAGTGGCGGCACTCCTGATCTGGTTGCAGGCGGTTCCTGCTTGCTAGGGCTCGAGGGATTGAAAGTATTCCTCAAAATGAGGGCCGCGTGTAAACCTAAACCCTAAATCCTAAATCCCAAGCCCTAAACCCTAAACCCTAAATCCTAAACCCTAAACCCTAAACCCTAAATCCTAAACCCTACCCCGACAAATTCAATTCCTCACCTTAAAGACTCCTTTGAGGTGCTTTGATTGACAGCAACTTACACGACCGGACATACGCGAAAGATGATATTCGGCTACCCAACCCTAAACCGTAGATCCTAAACTCTAAGCCCTAAACCCTAAACCGTAGATCCTCAACCCTAAGCCCTTAACCCTCAAAGTAGGACCCTATGACTACCATATGACTCTCATACAGTCCTACTTTGGGGGGTTGAGATCACCAAGATACTCACAGGAAGTCTTAAGCCCTATATCATTCCTACGTAAGCTCTATTCCTAAGGGTCCATGTACCCAATATTTAGGTACTTGGGTTTTGGGGAATAGTATTTATAGTATAGGTTTTGGGCAAGTATCTGATTATTGGGTACTTGGACCCTTAGGGTATTAATCCCTATACCACCCCTAAATATCCAAATTTAAACCGAACAATTTGTGGGCTGAAAGGGATGCTAATAGGAATCCACTTCCCTTCTTCCCGCCTCAGCACCAGCAAGACTTTAGGGTTCAGGGCATACAGGGTACAGTTGCAACACTGTGGCGCGCCAGAAAAAAACTAGGCACTGTACTCAGCATCATATTAACATTATGAACAGCGGCCATACGAACCATGCCTGCATAAAAATCACTGTAGCTCCATATATATATATATATGTATGTAAAGATGTGTATAGATAGATACATAGATAGATAGACAGATAGATAGACCCCGCATGGTGTACACTATGACATGCCCCGAACCTCCTTCAAATCAGAGATAGCTGAACCCTAAACCCTCCACCCCCGTTTCCTAGACTCTTAGCCCTCGACCTGAGGCCCTAAACCCTACGCCCACAACCTTAAACCCTCAACCCTATATAACCTGTAAACCCTAAGCCCTCAACTCTAGATTCATTATAGAATCCCCTAAGCCTTAAACCCTAAACCCTAAACCTATAATCCCCTAAACCTTAATAAGCTCTTCTCACAATGCTTGTTCAGCCTTATTTAATAAGCCCTTCTTAAACCCTAAAACCCTAAACCCTGACCCTAAACCAAAGTGTCCAAGTGTCTGCTCCAACCATTGGCGGTCGCCGTAAGCCTCCGCGGGCTTCATCTCGCCCTGGGAAAAAGGGTTGACTTTGGCGGCTCAGGGTTAAGGGGCTTAGGGTTTAGGGGTTCAGAGGTTTTAAGGTTTAGGGGTGTAGGGTTTAGGGGTTTAGGGTTTAGGGGTTTAAGGTTTAGGGGTTTAGGGCTTAGGGCTTTTAAGGTTTAGGGGTTTAGGGGGCTTAGGGTTAAACCCTATAGTCCCCTTTAAGTAGATAGAATATGGCTTTGGGTATATTGTAACAAGATCTCCATATATCCCGTATTCTATCTACTTAAGGGGGACTATAGGGTTAAACCCTAAACCCCTTATCCCCAGGCCTTGGAAACGGGTGCCATCCGCCGCGCCAAGGCTCGGCGCACATCAGCGTAGGCCTGGAGGCGCCGGGCCTGGCAGGAGGGGGCGCGGAGGCAGCTTTAAAAACGGGAGATGCAGGGGTTATCTAGGGGATTATTTTATGGTTTAGGCTTTAGGGTTTAGAGGGTTTAGGGGTTAGGGTTTAGGGTGTTGGGTTTAGGGTTTGGGGCTTAAAGCCTTGGGGAAGAGGGCTTGTGGGTTTGAGGTTGCTTCGATAAGATCTTGAAAGATTCGAGGTCTAGGGATAAGATCTTGGAAGGTTGTCAAGGTGAGTGGCGTTTTTTGATGGTTGAACCTAGTAAGATTTTCCTTATATATAATACTATACCCCAAAAGGAGGATATAATCTTACTCTATATTGGGTACCATAGTATCCCCAAATGAAATACTACTCAGGTGTATTGGATGAGGTGACGAAAACTTGTCAAGGTTCAGGCTTTAGATTTCGAACGTGTTCGGAGCTTAGTGGAAACGATTCTCAAGGCAGATTTGAGATTATAGGGCTTTGGATACGAGTTTGAATTTTGAAGGGCTTACTGGATAGGAGCTTCGGGTTTGAGAGCTGAGTGTATAAGGTTTTTGAAGGCTTTCAAAATATTCTGAAGGCTTTTAAGGTTCGTGGTGCAAAGGCGGTTTTCTTGTAAGCCGGTTTGCCACCGTAACGTTTCGGGTGTAGGGACGTGCAGGATCCTCAGTGTTCAAGGTTTGGAGGAAACATCTTTGGGGCTCTCTCAAAATGATACCTATACAACCCCAAGGGGGTATCCCATTATTCCAATACTTAGGGTTTAGGGTTTAGAGTTTAAGGACTTAGCTACTTCCCCCAGGTGACCCTAAACCCTGAACCCTGTTTGTGTGAGCCTTCCCTTTTTGGTTTTCAAGATACTGCAGCAGCCTAAACTGATTTTCAAGGAGGTTGAGTACAGTCTACCAGAGCAAGGACGACAACAGGGTCATAATATACATATCGATGTATATATATACACATACATATGGTTTTTTTTAGGCTTTGAGGGTTAGGGTATGTATATATAGAGGTTGTTCTCAAAAATATGGGCCCCTCTTGGTTCTAGATTATATTACGGCACCGAATATTGAGGGGTACCAAAATGGGACCCTAATCTTGGGAACTGCCCATATGATGTACCTATATATAGATATAGATATATATCTCTCTCCCTTTAAACCCCTATATACATTAGCCCATGCATTTCATGGCTCATTTTCTTTTTCATTTGATTCTCCGTTATTCGGGGCAACAATGTCCCTGAACTGAACCCTAAGCCCTAACCCCCTGAACCCTAAACCCTGAACCCTAAACCCTGATAATAAATTACAAGGGTCCCGTAAAAATCATTCAGATTTCTATGTGACCTGAAACCCTACCAAGAGCCTCCATGCTGAAGCTGGAGGAGCCATCGCAGATCCTGGTTAGGGCTCTGTCGGGCTTAAGGTTCTAGGATTGCTTTAGGGTTCAGGGTTTAGGGTTCAGGATTTAGGATTTAAGGTTTCGGTTTCAGGGTTTAGGGTTTAGGGTCTAGGGCTTAGGGTTCAGGAGGCTGTTGTGCCTGCGTGGTAGTCAATTCCATTTACCATGCTCAAGTGTGGTAACGGGGCCGGCTACTTCGGCACCTGTGGGAGCCTCAGGGAGTAGGATCAGGGCTTAGGATTTAGAGTTTAGGGTTCAGGGTTTAGGGTTTAAGGTTTAGGGTTTAGGGTTTAGGGTTTAGGGCTTAGGGTTTAGGGCCTCTTGGCGGTCATGGATATCTATAAGGAAATGTATAGTCTACGGATACTCGAAAGACTCCCTGTGGCAACTTGGAGGGCCCGTTCCCGTCCCATCTCGACCATGGCGAAAAGGAGCGAGAAGATTCGCAGACAAAGACGCGGTTAAGGGTTTAGGGTGTGGCTTACCTTTGGTTAGCTGGGAATGAAGGAATGGAAAAGATGAAACTACGTTAATGGTAATATAAGGCTTACTATTAGGATCCTAAATAGCTACCTACATCATGTTGAGGTCGATTTTGACACCGTCTACTCTACTTATACAAGGAACCTAGGACAATCGTCCATTGTTTAGGCCCGTATAAAGCTCTCAAGAAAAGCTCCTTGTGCGGTGCATATGCTACCCCCACCCGCCGGGTTTAGGATTATTGGGGCTCAGGGCTTAGGATTTATTAGGGTCTAGGGTGTAGGGCTTAGGGTTTATTAGGGTTTAGGGTGTTTAGGATTTGAGGTTCATTAGGATTCAGGGCTTAGGATTCATTAGGGTTTAGGGTCAGCTTAGGGATTAGAATCACTCCCAAATCTGGAACATTCTCACGACTCTCCCAAAAATGAAATCCCTGGGCAAAAACCTTGGAGCCCTAAATCCAAGGTGCTTGACTCTAAGCAGGTACCCTTCGCAGCTTCAAAAAAAACATGTATGACCAACACAAAGCCCTATGAAGACGTATGCAGCACATATTCAAACCTAACTCAACCTTCCGGCATCCCAGAAACATTGGCTGCCTATAGGCCTCAACTAGCATAGACTCCTGGGCACTGCCCCAATAGAACAGATCCCCACGAAGGGCTCCTTCAAAGGAGGTTATGCAAAAGATGCAACAACCTCCTTGGGCACCAAGTACTGCACTTCAAGGGGCACTTGGGAGTTTAGTGCCAAGTCCTTCTGCCAATAATACCCTGCAAGTAAAGATGAGCGATGCTGCCGGTTCTTCGACTTCTACATGAGAGAGAGAGAGAGAGAGAGTTTATGCATTCTCCACAGAATCCCTGATACGGACCGCCATAATCCGCCTCTGCGCACCACGTATCCCTAGGGCACCTCTGAAAATCTAAGCTTAAAAACCCGCTCCAAAATCCATATCCCTGAACCCTAAACCCTCAACCCCAGTCCCTACACCCTATAACTTCTTGTACACCAAAAATTTCCGGCAAGACTGCGGAATGACCCAACCTTAAAACATTCGGCCGCAACACCTTAACCCCTAAACCCTAACACCTAAACCCCTAAACCACTAAACCCCTAAACCCCGCCAAAAAAAAACATCAACAAAACCTCTCAGCCCCTCAACCCCTAACCCCCTAAACCCTTCACCCTAAACTCCAAACCAAGTCTCCGAAGACTGGCCCCAAGCTTGTCTAGCCTTGGGCTCGTGGCTGTTCAACATGGGGGTTTCCAAGCAGCAGGGGTGCATGTGAACCGGGTATTCACTTTGTCAGGATTTAAGGTATAGAGTTCAGGATTGAGAATTGGGGTATGAACTTTGTTAGGATTTAAGGTACAGTTGATTTTGCAATGCCTCTTTTACACTCCGCATGGGAGGTAAGGCCCACTGGGCAGACTTAGTCCACAGGGTTTAGAATTAAGGATCAGGGTCTGGGGGGCTTCATAGAAAGCAGGGGCGCCTTTAGATGGGTATGCAAGTTACATAAGAGCTGGATTTAAAAAGAAAAATTATGGTTTAGGGTTTCCAAGAAGTACAGGTATCCCCCTAAACTCTACATATTCTCTATATAAGTTCAAAATACACTGTTTGATACCTGGGCCTCCTTTAAGGCTTCTGATTTGTAAGCCCTCAACCCTAACCCTAAACCCCAAAACCTTAACCCCCAAGCCCGAAAGTGTCTGGGGTTTAAAGTCTCCTGCAAGGCTTCTGAACCTTAAACCCTAAACCCACTAGTATATAGGGCGATTAAGGGGGATACTAGGAGTTTAGACTACAGTTCTACCCTAAACCCTAAACCCTAAACCCCAAACCCTAAACCCCAAACCCTACCCTACAGTTCTGATGAATAACCACAACCTGGCCCAGGAACATTGCTGGGTCCGGGTGGGCGCTCTGCCCACCGGCGGTGGCGCAGGCCTTGTTGCAGGTGACTACGGTTGAGGACTAAAGGGTCTAGGGGTTAAGGGGTTTAGGGTTTAGGGTTCAGGGTTTAGGGTTTAAGGGTTTAAGGGTTTAAGGGTTTAGGGTTTGGGGTTTGGGGTTTAAGGGTTAAGGGTTTGTTAAGGTGGTTAAGTGGGTTTAATGGGTTAGAGGGTGTTTATGGGGATTTATGGGGATTTATGGGATTTACGGGGTTTCGGCAGGGTTTTAGGGGGCTAAGGGGGTTAAGGAGGTTTAGGTAGATGGTGTTGGTAACCTCGAGCGCAAACATATTCTAGACATATGAGAATTATGCCTTTTTGGGGAATAGGATTCAAGAATCCGTCTGCTAACGTTTATGAAGCAGTGCTACTTCGAAACAAGGGCATCCCCGGTTTCACCACACATCCATATCAGTGTAACCTAATTTGGTAGTTGATCCAAGTTCCTGTTCGCAGCATGCCTACTATGGAAAACAGAACCCCTGCAAACCCTGAACCCTAAACCCTAATCCTTAAGCCCCTAAACCCCAAAATCTCCAGCGATCCACGTCGTTGGTCCTTGGTGCTGCACAGGGGCACTGCGGGCAGCACTGCACTCGTCGACCGCCTGTTGAAGTGCCTCGCAAGAAGTACATGAGGGTTTGGGGTTTAGGGCTTTAGGGTTTGCATATACTAGGGTTATATTTGACTTATATTGGGGTCATTTATATTAGGGATAATGGAAAAGAAAATGGAAACTACTATGATGGGATCTATGGGGTTTAGGGCTGAGAGTGTAGGATTA